ACATCAGATCTGTTTAATTAAATGTTGTTATTGGTTCTACAGGCTGAGAGTAAAATTCTATTTCTCAGAGTAAAATTTACGTTGGTGCCTTTATTACACATTTCTTATGGATGCCCCGCAAAAATGCTGAGAATAAAATTCTACTTCTCAGAGTGAAATTTACTGAGAAATGAATTATGTTGCTATAAAAGTAGTACCGTGTCTGCTTTGTTGTTGCATTTTTTTTTAACTTTCAAACGTAAAATTTGTAAATTTTTTGTCGCGGGAGAATTGGTGTGAAAATATACGTAAATACATATACGTACATATCAAAAAAACCAAAACCAAACTGTTAACTCACAAATATTTTAAAACATAACATACATAACATGACATAAAATAGTTAAACATACGCATAGCGGCAAATAAAAAAAGGAAAAATAAACACACGGTAATAATAAAACTAAAATTATTTTTTTAAGTGTTATTGGGAAAACGTCTTTTTAAAAGTCTTTTCACAAGTGTTGATTCAATTCGACTTTTTGTTCGTTTTATATATTCATAAATGGTTTTCAGTTCACATGTGTTGGCAAAAGTTAAAGTAGTGTGTTTGAGCATTTTCTACTTGAGTTATAGCGTGAATTTCTTATCCTTATCGTAAGTCTTTTCTTTATGATAATAAATAATAAATACTTTTAGATATGGTTAATTCATTAAAATATATTTAATATATTTAATATTTCTTAAATTTTGAACGATAAGGGTCTGTAAATTTCTTATCGCGAGACCTTACGCGAAAGAATATATGTAAATATAAATAATACTGAAAAGAAAGCTGTTAAAACGTAATAATTACTTTTTTCATTTGATTAATTAATTAATGTATATTTAATATTATTAACATTAAAATTATAAAAAGTAAGAAATGTAACAAATGTAATTAACATAAAATACCTGAAAAAAACACAATATTAACGGATACGGAAAGATACATCATTAATTTTAAATATTTTTATTGAGAATTTGTCGATTGATAAGAATAAAAGGCAAAGTCGCAAAGATAATGGTTGTTTTTTAGGTGTCGTCATGAGCTTAGCAAATGCTTAATAAGCCCTTTATATATATATATATATAAATAATTTTTTTTATACGCGGATATTAGTTGAACGATAGAAACCATTTTAGCCAAGCTCCGAGAAATTTGCTAAAACTTGATCAGCTATTACGAAATTACTCTTCTTTATGACCTGAAAAAAATAAAATATTTCGCGCCAACTGCTTTAAAAACCGGTAAGGCTTCCTACAGGCAAATTAAAAAGTAGATATAACAAAATAAAATTAAAGTCAGATACAGAGCTTTTCGAAAAAAATTTTATATTATAACGAATTATGGATCTATATATGTGTGAATTAATATAAATAAGTAAATCGGACAGATTTTGGTATTTAAGTAAGCATCAAGATAATTTTGACTTAGGACTATCAAGTGCCGTTGCCCATGGAATTTGATTCCCCCTGCATCTTTTAAATCATTTTAGATTTGGCTGTCACTCGATATCATAATAATTGCCCTCAATGCATTTCCAAAAGTAAACTCAGCAAATATTTTTAATTTTAAATTTTTTGAAATGTTTTGCTTTGTTGTAAGTTCAGTATTTCGCTGGCTGATAGCGGACGAGTATACAACGAAAACGTCTGTCAAGAGGCATTAACTGCAAAAAACCAAAGCAAAAAATTAAAAATCTTGGTAAAGGAAATTGTCGAAAAAAAACTAATAATACTCGTTTTAGCCTAAAATTAAAAATTAACAACATAATGTAGTTTACAAATTTCATCTGAAAAACTGGTTTATCTAAAACATATGTGATGAAAGTTTGATTGTGGTTTTGAGTATTGCGGTATTTTGCTTTTTGTTCTTTGTTACAAGGGATTTTCTTGCCTTTACATCGTTTATGTACGTTTATAATTAATACGCTCCATTTCATTTTAAACCGTTAAAGAAAACACGGGAAGAGAGTGGGAAAGCGATTATAAGAGAGAAAAAGAGAGCAGAACAGAGGCACGGCAGAAAGCGCGGCATTATGTACATTTTATGCACCGGATATGCTATCCTTACGGTATTTCTTTTCATACATATATTTTATACAACCAACAAACAAAACGGATGGCAAAAGTTAAATACTCGTGTCGGTAGGAAAAGTACACAAAACAAAACATGGGCGCTGCAGCTTCATTCAACACAAACATATACGGGTAGCAGCAAGACGTCTAGAATATAAAAACAAAAAAAAAAATAATAATAATAAACGAAAAAAAAAGTAAAAAAACGAAAAATTAAATGCAAACACAAAAAGGATTCTCCCCTCGCCTTATTCGTACACATAACTACGTATGTATAGATGTATGTTCATATACAATACAGGTGTATATATAAATTGTGTTTGTATAGATTGTTCGTGTTAGGCTCTCTGTACAAAAGTTATCGTTTTACAGAGTCAGACTTTTATTATTGTTGTTGCTGTAATTTTTTTGTGTTGGTGTGCGGGCGCTTACGTTTGATGTTGATTTTTTTGTCTTCGTTTGCTCTTGTTATCCTTTGAGAGGAAAAACCCTGCACAAAAGCATACGTATTTTCTACAGCAGAATCGTGCATGTATGTTTATATATGGAGTTTCGTGTGTGACAAAGTGTAATGTTTTTTAAGATCTTCTGTCATCATATGCCCTATCTATAGGTACAACTAAGTTGTCATAATGAAAACTGGAGCGCCAACGTTAGCTAGCCGAAAAAGTAAACGTCGTCGTTTCTTTCCTACTCTTTCTCTCTCTAGCCTTCTCTTACTCTCTATCTCTCTCTTTCTCTCAGAATTCAAAAATAAATTGACGGTCGTATGGACTGACAGACAGTTACTGCAGTTAAATAACTCTGCTAGTGCTTGGTATTCAATCATAGAATCATAGCAGTTAACCGTAGCATAATAGTAAAGCACCTGGTTAACTTACTCCCTTCCCTACTTATTTGCTTCGTTGCTTGCTAACTCATTCACACGCTTCCCTTCCTATTTCAAACATATCCCCGAGAATAAAATGTTTTGAAGGCGCGCGCGGAAAATATGCTTTTAAAAGTGCAATTAAACTACAACATCAAAGAATTTTCACAAAACAAATCTGTGAATATGCACAAACGAGTATGTCTCTCTGTGTATGCGTGTGTATTCTTCGGATTTTGTGCTTATGCGCGTGTTTGTGTGTTAGTGTATATGTATCAACGCTAAAATATTCCTTTTGATGTTCTCTTTAGATATTAGATATTCACATCATCATCAGCATCTCATTTGTTGTTTTACTACTTGGGTTTTTATTTTTTTCTGTTCACACAGAAAGTAGTCTCCTTCAAATGCAAATCTTCACCCACTTGTTTTCCTCATGTTCTTCTGGTTCCTCGTTTTCTTACTCTATTTTTATTTTCATTTTATATATATATATATATATATTACTCAGGCTAAATTTGTCCTTGTATTCAAAGCTATCGTCCTGTTGTCGTTGTACTTGTCTTTCACTTCAGCAAACAAATTAATGTATCTTGCCTAGCGTGTACCTCTCCTGCCTCTTACTCACTCTCTATCTCTCTGTTTGTGTGTGTGTGTGTGTGTGTGTGTGTGTGTGCATGTACTATATATATAAATGCACGTATGTATTCATGTATAAGTTGGTGTTGTCAAAAAGACACTAATAGCATTATTCACAAAAAACGAGAACGAGATGGAAAACAAGAAACACAAACAGCCTTTAATGTTTGATCCTTAGTAAAGTGCAGGTCAATTGGTTTCAATTAATGTGGCGGGAATCACAAAAAGAGCAAAAACACAAAAACCAGCTCATATATGAAAACACTTTACGACGTCTAACCACAATATCGAAGCAACAACAATATTGAAATGAAAAAAAAAAACCCAACACCGAAATACAATACACGAAAAGATCAAAAATATTTGCAGTGACGTCAAAAGAAAAACTTCTAAGGATAAGGACTTTTTCGAATTTTGAAAAGAAAGTGAAACACCACCGAATAAACATTAAAAATATCTGAAGAGCTTTATCTTTAAAGTAAAAGAAATTCCATTCTACGAGAATTCTCTTATCATATGTTAACCTTAATGGAGGAAATTAAGCTAAAAGTATGCCCTTATGTCAAAGCCTTCAATCCTTTAATTCTTCGTTAAATTTCTTCATCTTCTTCTCTCATAGCCCTTCGGTCTTAACAAATACTTCAAGGATTTTATGATTTTCATTCTATGGAGATCTTACTGCTTATACACAAAAGTAATATAATAATAATAAATTTGTGCAAACAGCAAAGTCATGCCGATCTATGCGAATTTTCTCTAGTTCTTTAATTTGCTTAAGATTAATTTACAACTGTCAGTTAGATCACTGCATCGATATTCTCTAAAATTAATAAAAACGCAGTATTTTTAGTGTTGAAAACAAATGCGTTCTCACTTGATGCCACACTCTAGCCTATATATATATATATATATATATCTATTATATGTTATGTTCTAGTTCTAAGCCTTTACGCTATTGAGCCCATTTCAAACTGCCCGCAACAACTTTCCTTTTTGCGCTCTTTGCGATAAAGCGTTTAAAGATATTTCGATATTTAATTTGTGCTCAAGAAAAGAATTTAGACTCCTTATTTATAATGGATCTCATTCAATTCACAATAATAATTCGCTACGAAAATTAGTATTGTCGATCCACCTTAAAATAATTGACAATAAGATCGTTTCATGTCTTCGTCGCTATACTTTTAATCAAATACGAAAGGCGTCATTATTAGAAAAAATTTGTTTAAAAAATTTTTTAAGAATAATTTTTTTCAAAGCAACATAGTTCTTAAAAAAAATATAACTGACAAACAGAGTGAAAGAAATTCCAAAAAAAAAAAAAACAACAACAGCAAAAATATTGCGTCATATGAAATTAAAAAGCGAGTAATGTAGCATATATGTAAATGCAAATACATATGTGAATGGAACAATTAAAAGCAATAAAGATTAATTAAACGACAGTTTTTTTGTGTATGTATTTATATCGCTTTGTTGCGAATAATAAGTGCGAGGAGAATGCAGGAGAGTAAACAGAAAAAGAACAACAAAAAATCAACAAGTGATAAGAGCGACACATCTTTAAAAAAAATAGTTTTAATCCCAAAAAATCCAGTGAAACTCAAAGAGAAAGAGTTGTGCATAAAATAAAAAAAAAAAAAAAATTCACAACAGGAAGGAAATTGCAACTGATTTATAAGAAATTTAAAAACAAGGAATGAATTTTAATAAAATTAAACAAAAATGAGAAATTTAAACGTTTGTTGCCATTTAAATTATCGGTTGGCGACGCTACTAATCGCTTTTATATGGTTAATGCCTTTGGTGACTTCCGTTCGCCACATTGACTATGAATACAATCACAATGATGAGGAGCAAGAACAGCAGCCGACATTGCCACAACAACAGCTAAGACGTAATACCAACACAAATTATCATCAGCACCATTATCGTCGACAGTACCGTAATCAACGGCAACAAGAAACTAATGAATCACCACAAAGGCGTGCTAAGCAGCAGCACCAGCAACAGCAATATCAACATAAAAACAACAATAATAATTATAACAAGAAATTATCAATGTCTTTAACAAAATTATACAGCGCTGAAGCCGTGTACGCCGATGATGAGGAAGAAATTGATGTGAACGATAATAATTATCATTCAATGGAAGATGAATCTGAATCAACCGATGATGCAGATCAAGAGCCAGCAGATTCCATGACGTCTACAAATACTAAAGAACACATTCATCCACCGTATGGTAAGTAAAAGTAAAAACCAGAAAAATTTGTTATTTATATTAAGATGTTTTGGCATTTAATTTTTTTTTTTTTTTTTTTTTTTTTTGGACAATTCAAAATCCTTTCAATCTATCATAATATCAACAATTTAAACGTAGGGGAATTATATGTGAAAAACAAATAAGGCATAAGGAACGTGTTTCTAATTAAAACAATTAATTATCGTTTAGATCGTTTAGATGCATTCAATGGTCCTTTCATAATTATAACGTTATTTTTACTTCCTCACACCCAAAAACTCATAATGATGGAATTGAAATCAACTTTCTTACTTTCCACAATTTTCTCAAGAAACTTTCTCTCTTTTCAAATTTCCTTGAAACTAATTACATGCAGTTTAATCCATTCTATGTTTAAAATAAAAAGGCAAGCAACCTAAGCAATTACTGCACATCGTAAAACTCCTTGATGAACAGAAAAATGCAACTCTAAACCTTTTGCTAATAGATTTTTAAAAGGCAAAGTTTCCCAAAAAAAAGTTATAAATAAGAAAATAAATCAATAAAAAAAAAAACAGATTCGAGACAAATGATGACAAATTCCATCTAAATCAAATACATATACAAAGATTTCATTTTTTACTGCGAAAGAGTCGAAAAAGGAACCTCAATCATTCTACTGTACAATGCATAACAAGGATAAGTGTTTGTACCAAAAATAAAATTGTTACGTGTTTGGTTTTCACATACGTTCGCAAATGAATTTTCTTACGCGAGCTTATCCCACGTCTTACGCCACCAAATCGTTTGCAATGTTAACTTGATCGACATAACTAGTTATTGAACGACTAGAGCGAGGAAAAATGTGGATGAAAGGCGTTTATCACAAATCATGAAATTTTGCGCAAACACTCTATTTTTGTTCGTAAATATTAGTGAAGCAAATAAGTCCTCTGTTAAAATTTAATTTAAAATATACTTGTGACAAGGATAGTTTTATCATCGCTGCCTATGGTCTTTTCCCGCTTGCAATGGCAGAATATTCAACTAATCGAGAATAATTTATAATTTAATGCCATGTTTCCAATGTTGTAAAAGGAATGGGAAACTGAATGCGCTTATATCCTTCGATAGCAGTTATCAAAAAGGAAATCATCGCGCTCTTGAGAGTAAACCAATATATTAAACAAGTTTCTTTCCTAAATTTGATAGGATTTCACAATATATTTATTTACAAATTCACTGTCGATCAATGTATGAACCGCTACGTTCATTGATCTTTGTAAAAAAGTTATCATTCGAGGTTATCGCATAGTTGAGAAAAAAAAACCAAAGAAATGACAAATGTATGTGAAATACGAGCGTCGCCCAATGGAGACATAAAAGTTGCTTTTAAAGTTTTCGTCAATGAAAATTCTTTGTTATCAGAATTTCACATGAGAATTAATTTTGTGAAAGGCATAACAAACAAATAAGCAATGGGAATGGACGGACATATAGTAGATATCGTCAAAAATTGCAATATTATGCTTAGAAAGTGCCAACCCTCAAATGACGCTTGTCGAAATATTATGGCAATTCAATCATTTGTCTGCGACTTAGTAGTGACCGTTTATGGTTTCACTGGCACTACGTTTCTTATTTTCAAAACAATGGAAAATTCCGAATTCTGTTGATTATACAATGTTTTTTTTTTTTTTAAAACGAGGATGGGCCGATGATATGGAACGCAATGGTGGTTACAACAAAAAACATCGAAAAAGTTCGAAAAACTATTCTCAACAGCCGAGAAGTTATATTAGAAGATATTAGTTGATACTCTAAAAGAATCGAAATCACACGAAAACATGTCGAGCTGTTACTAAAATAAAATTCGAGCTTAGTTTAAAAATCTTCATAAATCATTCTACAAAAAAACAATTGAAATATTAGAGAGGTATTCGACTAATCGACTTTACTCTTAAAAAAGACTATGTTGTCAATATTTAATACATGTGAATATATTACTGTAAATGGATTTTGTAACGCAAACAGTATTTTGTAGCCTCCCACTTGTTGAAACCTGGCCCCACTATCTATTCTACGGCGTCTTTTTCGGTAAGCTTCTCCTTTTTTTGCTGTCAGAAAGATACGCACTGGACTTATAAAGCAAACAATCTACATTTCTGCCTATCTTGGGCTTCGCTTGACAAAATCGAGTGCACCTCAAAAATACAGATACAACTGGTTCGCTACTGAAAATTGCATTAGTTTCAGTAGATTGAGCATATCAAGGCGAATATTGGGAAAAACAAACGAATAAATATATTTTTCGCCTTTTTTTTTACTTTCTATATCAAACAAAGCTGCTATGTCATCGTTCAAATATTGCGTTTTTCGAATGCGCAATTCGGAGAAGCTAGTCATCATAATATCTAAAGGAAACATTCAAAATTGCATTGTACCGCACACATCCTTAATCGATTTCCATAAAATACCTTTTTATTTTTTCGCTTCCCTTCATGCCTTTAATCCTTAGAGAGTCCCCTCCTTGTCTTTAAAAATGTATCTAATCATTTTAATTTATATTTTTAATTATGTAGATGATCTATATTTTTTTGCTTTTTTTCTTGCCGAAGGCACAGTGGAAAAATTGTAAATTTAATACGTATTAAATCATATTTAATTATGTAAAATTTCAACATACAACGGAAAATGTCGCAACAAAATCTCTTCTTCTATAAGCTAAAAATATCTCAATGATGAACAGCTTTATATACGTATTTTATGTGCTCGATAGAGACAGGCATAGAAATTACACACCTAATTAATGAGTGGGTTTTTGATCTTTTAGAGAAACAGTTCTGGAAGAATATGCACACAGCCATTTAAATATGCATGAATAGCTTAACCATCATACAATCAAAATTGTTGAAAAATTTTTTTATCTTAAAATCTTTTTACATTTTTTCACTTGAGCTGGGAAAAAGCACAGGGAGATCTGTGTTGGATTAGACACATGTCACACATGTTTTGTTTGTTTTTTGTTTTCTGTTTGTTGTGTTTTTTCGTTTTCTGGTTTTTGGACACATGTGACTGCGTGGACTCATGCGTATGCGAAATCAGATGAGGGCGTTATTTTGACAGCATATTTGTGCGCTGTGCGTGCAGTCGTAGTAAACGATAACATGACTTTTGTACATTTCTTGAGAAGTTTGTCTTCATAATTTATTTGTTTAGTGCTTGTTTGCGAGAAGGGTGGGATATTTTTACACATTTTACTCGTTCGAGTTGATCGGAGCGTAGTGGTGTTATAGTCAACTAGGTGGAACATTTCGGTTTCTTTGACGTAAAGAGGATTTTAATTAATTAATGGTAGCCTATGTGAATTTTTATTTTTTTTATTTTAATTAATAATATCCATAGATAAGCAGGGATTAATAAAGAACCATAGAAAAAAGAAAAAATGCAACAAGGGAGCACAGAAAGTTTGAGCGAAACCAAAGAGAGAGAGAGAGAGATAGAGAAAGAAAGAAAGAAAGAAAGAAAGAAATACATAGCAGCACAATAGATGGCACAAGGAATTAAAGCATAGAAATGGCTTCAGATTTAGATGAAGATAATACAGACAAACTCGTTCAGGTACTACGAAGATAAATGAATAAAAAAGGCGCACGCGTCTGATTGTAAAAAAGGAGGAAGGCGAGATAAAAAACTTGCCTAGAGAAAAGTAACTTTTAACGAGGTTTTAACCAAATTTCTAGACCATTTATCGAGGCTAAAGTTTATTTAATTTTTCTTTCATGTCGCTAAATGCGTGACCTTTAAAAAGAACTTTATATCAAATTTTTTAACTTAACTCAAGTGGGTTTTCGTTAAATTGGTAATTTCCAAGACTAACTGAAAGTTTAGTTAAGTGCGCAATATGTATGTATTATACTTAAAATATTTTTGTTTGTACACTTTTTGTGCCCACATATATGAATAATTGTTCAATTTTTAATGACTCTAAGCAACGAGAAAACGTGTGAAATTTCAATTACTTTCAAAATAAACGCAATCAGTTTCTGCTATATTATTCTGCTATGCATAATTTCAAACAATGCGATAATAACAACCACTTACTTTTCATCGTATAGTAAGACATTTTCTTTTTATGCCTATCACCGAAGTATGAGGATTATATTCATTTTGTCAGAACGTTTGCAACGCCCGCAATATATTCTCGATCAGCATCAAATTCTAAATTGAAGTAAGCATGTCCATCTGTCCGCCTGACCGTCTGCGTAATGTCTGCTGTTAACATTCACCTGGCCACAAAAATGAAGCTATCGATTTCAATTTTGGCAGAAACACTGGAACTTCTTGCACACAGATTGGTATTGAAAATGGGACAAATCGGTCAAAGGACACGCGCATAGCATCACATAAAATGAGAATACCTCCGTTTTTCAAAGAGAAGAAAAAATGTTTTTTTTTTGCTTATTCCTCATAAACTATAACAAATAAATGTACAGGAAAAAATTTTAAAAATTATAAATTTTTTCATACAATGAGGATTCGCGGTTGACCCAAAAGACGTCAGTATACCACATTTCATCAAAATACCAAAAATTTGGACTGCACCTAAACATGTGCACCTATTCGTTTGTTCATGTGTTTGTTTGCGCAACTTTATAGCAATATCTGGTAAACGTAAGTTAAATCCCATAATTCGATAGTTTCTATGGATGCGTAAGAACGCTACATTTGCTACGAAGTGAATATCGGAGATAAATGTAGAATTCTTCGGTAAGGGTTTCTTTCACAAGACTTCGGTTTCAAGTAATAACATCTGTCTCCGGCTGAACGCTTATGCCGACTTACAGAAACATTCAATTCTTTCATTTCTTATCAAAAATATACCATCAACCGATTAGTAAATTTTCTAATTCTTGTCAATGATACAACATTAATACACAATAAATTCACATCGTTATTAACGCTCGAGCGTACAAATATTAGGAAACTTAAATATAGGTTTGAATTTTTTACAAAAGAGT